TTTTGTTTGAAAAGTTTTTTAATAATTAAATATTTAAATGCCATAATCCTCAGATCATTGAGTAGTTGAGGGCTGTTTATCAGGTATAGATGAGTTATAACTACAGTATAGAATCTTCCTGGCGAGCTGAGTCCAAGCTTGACTGTATTGGCTCTCAACTTAACAGGTAAGATTTATACTCATAAAAAGATAGAAAGAAGAAAAACTGCTTGTAATACAGGTTAAGAGCAGAACTGACAATAATAGAGGACAGCTTCATATATGGTCAGATTTACACTTGTAAAAAGACAGAAAGAAGAAAAAACTGCTTGCAGTAGAAGTCTAATGGCAGAACTGACAATAGTATAGAACATCTTAATATATTTTAAATGAGAGTTGGATTAAATACAAAGAATTTTTGTAAAAGATTTAAAAATACATACCAGTTTAAAACATGAGAATTGCTGTTTTTTGTAGTCTGAAATAAGATGCAATGAACAACTATAACATTTAACAGTAAACATAGGTACATTTAAGTTATATGTATGAACACACTTACACACAGTAAACAGGAATTGAGTAAAGTGGATGCTCTTGGTGGGCCCTACCAAAGGCATGTCACTGTTCAAAACAAACATGCAAGAGTCAGCAAAAGGAATTTAGAGACAAAAACATGAGTAAGCCAGGGAACCATTCAGGGTATGCTTCAGTAAAGATGGCAGGACTTGATCACTGACCTGGCTCTCAGGCAAGATGGTGGTAAGGTCACCTGACCTCAGTCAAAATGGCAGCAATCACATGTTGTATGGAAAAGAAACCACGATTATTGAGCTGCAGGGATTTTAAGTTTAACAATAAGAGAGACTTAGAGGTGTGATCTGCCCTGTCACTGAGCCACCATGCCACAAGCCATGGCAGGGAGCAAAATGCTGGAATTGAAAACAGGCACCTTGTGGATACAACCAATCTTGTTGGCAGCAATAACGGTGGCAGGGCATCTTGAGGAAACTCCTTCCATTTGCCTGTGTGCTGACAGTAGTTAGAAAGCTCCCATAAAAGTGGAGCCAGTGGGACACCGGAAGAATTAGGGTACAAGCTGAAGAAGTAGGGCATTAAGGCCTGGGGTTTTAGGGCCTCTAAAAGGCACCCATCCCAGGGGGCGGCTGGATTGATGGACATGGATGGCTTCTACCTGTAGCTGAAACCGTGAAAACCTACAAAAACAGTGACAACACAAGGCCCCCTCTATATATATATATGTCTCCCCTCTATAGGCAGAGTATGAATCCACAGTAAACACCACAGGGCTTGTAGGAGAGCGTCCTCTGCCTACAGGCAGAGTGCTAAAGCCTGACTGACTCCAGTTGGGGTGACGTGGAAGCCAGAGAGGCCAGAGGCCACTCCAAGCAGCCTTTCAAAGCGCGGTGGGGAGAAAACAAAAAGAAAAAAAGAGAATCAAAACCAAGGAACTCTGGGCCCCCAGCCAAATGCACCACACAGCATGTGCAGTGCTAGCATGGGAGGACTGACCCCAGATCATCCAGTCACAATTTTAGCTAAGGGAAGCAATCCAGAAATGAATGTCGCAAAGGGCTCAACCGTAGCCAGAAAGACCATGGCTGTACTCCCATTTATAGGAACACCAGAAGACTTCCAGGAGCTCAACAATCAATTCCTTGGGTTCGGAGAAATGGTTAAGCTGACCAGAATGGGGGAATTCATCAATTGAAGCCGGTGGTGTGCGTAGCAATTTCACTCAGGCAGGTAAAATAGGGAGCTCTTGTAAAGAAACCTGGTTCCCTAGCCCAGGGTTCCATGTGTCCTCAGCCAGCCCACCTGCAGGCCAAAGGGAATGTCAAGAGCCTGGCCGAGTCACAGCAATGTAATGGTAAAAATAAAATGCTACAGGTCCCCAAACAGCAGCAGTGGGGCAGCCAGTTCCACACAGGGAGTCATGTGGTGGGTGAGAGACTTCAATGGGTCAGCCAGTCCCACAAAGAGAGACAGACAGATGGGCATGCCACAAGACCACACCACAGATCTCCAAAGGTGACTGGTCCCAGCCAAGGAGCCATGCAGCAGGCGAGAGACAGACACATGGGTAGGTATGCCATGCAGAGTGAAGTTGGATATTTATTTAGTGGGTTATGGAAGGGAAGAAGGGGAAAGAGCAGAAAGAGGAAGAGAGAGAAAGAGAGACAGAGACATAGAGGAAGGAAGGGGAGAAGTGGGGAGAAAGGAAAGAGAGAAGCTGTCTCTTTGAGGGAGATGGAAAGGAAAGGACTCAGGCTGGAAGCTGAAGATCAGCTTGCCTTGGCAGACGAGGGGAGAGAGTGGGCATGGCTTGTCTCTTAAAGGGAGAGAGCAGACCATTACAAATGACTACACAGAAAATCCATCTTACCCAGGTCAGAATGACAGTCATCAAGGAAACAAATAGAGGCTGGAGAGATGACGTGCTGCGGGAGCTCCTTCTGTTCCTTCAGCCAATAGCCTTTGAGATACCAGCCCATTGGGGTGTGGTCTCTTTCGCTTTAAAAAGCAGCAGCAGCCCTCCTCTCACTCTCTTGCTTCGGACTCCGGTTCCAATGACTAGACTCCTTTCCTTGTCGTGTGGCCGGTGTTCTGTAAGCTTTTTCCCCTCAAATAAATAACCCCTTTATAATTACAAACTGGTGTGGGATTGTTTCATGCATTAATGGCTCAGCAGTTAGAAGCATTGGCTGCTCTCACAGTTCAGTTCCCAGTATTTACACGGAGACTCACAACTGTCTGTAACTCCAGTCCTGAAAATTGGCAGCCTCTCTGGCTTCCATGGGCACCAGGCACGCACACGATACACATACATACAGGTATGCAAAACACACACACACACACGTACACACACACACACACAATATAAATACATAAATAAAATTTAAAGGAAAATAAGTAGCAGTGGAAGGAAACCATAGCTCCTGCTAGCAGGGATATGAGCTTGTCCAGTCACCACTGACAGCAGCATGGAATATTGTGCTTGGAATGAAAGTGGCCCCCACAGGCTCATAGGAAGAGGCACTATTACAAGGTATGTTCTTCTTTGAGTAGATGTGGCCTTCTTGGAGGAAGTGTGTCACTGGGGGTGGGCTTTGAGGTTTCAGATGCTCAAACCAGTCCCAGGGACTCTCTCTGCCTGCTGCCTGTCAATCCATATGCAGAATTCTCAGCTCCTCTCCAACACCAACTCAGCCTGCATGATGATAAGGGACTAGACCTCTGAACAGTAAGTCAGCCCCAATTAAATGTTTTTCTTTATAAGAGTTGTCATGGTCATGGTGTCTCTTTATGGCAATGGAACCCTAGCTATGATAGGAGATTTCTCAGAAAATGAAGAGTCAGTCTATGCTGCTAGTCCGCTATTGTCAACCTGGCTGTTTGCCCAGCGCACTGAGTGTTACTGTAGAGACATTAGCAACCAGTGCTTACCCAGTCAGGTCCCAGAGCTAAGTTATGGGACCAGCCTAGGCACCAAGAATGGAGGAATGGGCACACATACAGTGGAAGTTTCCAACTATAAAGAAAAGCAGAGTTTTGTCATTTACAGGGAAATGGATGCAACCTGGAGGTGATCCCATTAGGCACCAAAATGAGCCTCACAAAGACAAACATCACATGCCTTTTCCCACTTATGGATCCAAGACTTAACAGAGATATTAAAGCCTACATAACGTGAAGGCAGGATGAAGGTGAACTAGGGGGAGAGAGGGAACTAATGGGGTAGGACTAGAGAAGGGGTAGGGAACAGAGGGGGAATGTGCTCCATGTGCAATAGATATTAATATAACTTTTTATTAAAATTTAAACAAAGCAGTGCACCCTGAAGCCCTCTAAAGTATTCTACAGAGGCTGCCCCCTGCCCTGGAAGCTGTTGTTCTGACCTTCAGGGTCAATGACGGCCATCTAGTACCCAAAGTGTAAGCCTGTGATGACTTAAAAGTATTTCCTGCCATTTATGGAAAACCTGGCCAAGCATCAGCCAGCAGTCTTTCTTTCCTATGAACAGTGAGCAGCCATCAGGTCCCCACTCATTCCTTCCATCTCGTTCTACGCTAGCTGTGAGCACCCACTTCACTACAGAGAAAGGTTATAAACTCCGGTAAGAACAAACAATGGTCAGGGTAGATCCCATTTCTCACAACAGGATGGGGAAGCCCCAGGGAGCCTCAGAAAGTTGAAGGCAGAGAAGCAGATGTGAAAAATCAAGTCTAACCTTACATGACCAACTGAACAGTTCTTGGTTGCCAGGTGAGCGGCTGTCAGGAACCTCAAGGGCTCTTTATCAAAGCCTGGACTTCCCTCCTTTTTCCTTTCCAGTTCAGTCAAGACCTTTTAAAAGTCCTTCAAGAAAGCACTAGGTTTAGAGAGATCCTGGGGTCTCTATAATCTGGCCACACTTTTCTCCCTTGTTTTAACTGTCTATCAACATGTTCTGACTGGCACAAACTATCCAGTATCTATTGGGGTAAGCTGTGGTAAAACCAAATCCATGAGCAGCACCAATGTGTACCACCACTGGTTAAACACTCACCAATAAGGACAACTGGCCTGAGGGCCAGTTTAATCTTTAATCCCAGCACTCAGGAGGCAGAGGCAGGTGGCTCTATCTCTGTGAGTTCAAGGCCAGACTGGTCTATAAGAGCTAGTTCCAGGACAGGCTTCAAAGCTACAGAGAAACCCTGTCTCAAAACAAATGAACACACAACAAAAACGATTGGCCATGGAGAGACTAAGATGTCTTACTGTGAGGTGGACACTTCACCCATCACTAACTCAGACTCACTCATCTCATTGGCTCTGAAGATGCACTGAGTCATGCCAAGGGCAGTACCCAAAACTGTTCCAGTGTCTGGGCTCTGGGCCAAAGGTTCCCGGGTACACAATCCTCCTGATGGTCACAGAATCTCAAGTCCAACAACATCTTAGTAGCCCAGAGTCGGCTGAGTGAGTTCTTCTGGCAAGTGCCTCTCACTGTCCACTCAGCTATGGCATCGAGCAACCGCGTAGCTCTTGTAACTGGGGCTAACAAGGGCATTGGCTTTGCGATCACGCGTGACCTATGCCAAAAGTTTTCCGGGGACGTGGTGCTCACAGCCCGGAACCAGGCACGGGGCCAGGCTGCTGTGCAGCAGCTGCAGGCAGAAGGTCTGAACCCACGCTTCCACCAACTGGATATTGACGACCTGCACAGCATTCGCGCCATCCGTGACTTTCTTCTCAACGAGTACGGGGGACTGGACGTGCTTGTCAACAATGCAGGCATTAGCACCTGGCCTAAGAATAAGCCACCACCAAGAGAAAGCGACCTCTTCAAAGACACCCAGCCAGGTATGTCTGCTCTTGGCCTGGCAGTGCAGGCAGACGGGGTGGGGACACCTCTGGATTGTAGAGGTCTCAATCAGTTCCTGGATAGGAGCAAGCTAGGTTGGGAGCTTAAGAACAAAATGAATATTCCAGTGTTACAGTGTGCCTGGAGAGAGGGATTCCTGGGAGGTCCGAATAAGTTGAACGAAGTCTTTATTAAATGCTAGCATGACTGTCCCAAGCAGATTAGAAGAAGTAAACCCAATCGTCAGCTGGTTTGCATTTTTAAGGGCAAAGGATGCAGTTGAGACATATAAAGAAAGGCAGCTCTGGACACTTGTAATCAGCAAGCATTGTTTGTAGAAGCAGAGAGAAACAGTTACAGTCCAGCTGTGAGACTGTAGCTCAGGGTGGCATTCTATAGGAATTTAAGGCTGGTCCAGAGACCAATTTTACCCAAGATAATTTTAGCACCTAAAGTGCTCTTAGGGATATTTTCATGAGATGGCATAACTATAGTTCAGTAGCCCACTACATAAGAGCCTAGAAGGTTCTACTCAAAGAACCTTAGCCAGTTATCTGGCTTGATTCTAGGGTCAAGTGGACATCTGTGATTGGATCTTAAGCCCAGCTGGGTTTAGTTATAATTCATTTGGAAATAAGCAAGAAATGGGGAGGGGTCTTCTGTGCCAAGATTCCTTGTAGGATGCCTTCTACCAAGCACCAATCCCACAGAGACACAACAATTGCTTATTGATAGGTCACTAAGGGACTATTCTTTTATGAAGAGACACAATGACCAAGGCAACTTACAAAAGCAGGCATTTAATTGAAAGTTTGCTTACATTTGTAGAGGACTCGTTCATGCTCATCATGGTACCAGACAGACATGGTGCTGGAACACTAGCTGAGCTTTATACCCTGATCTGCAGGCAGAGGGGGGGGGAGGAAGGGAGGGAGGGAGGGAGGGAGGGAGGGAGGGAGGGAGGGAGAGGGAGACTAGACCTGGGGTGTTTGGGTACACTGTGAAGATGTGTCACTCTGGTTGGATTAATAAGAAGCTAAATGGCTGACAGCTAGGGCAGAGAGAACAATGGGAAGAAGGTGGAGATGAGAAGAGACACAGAGCAAGCAGGATGGTCATACAGAGACGAGGTAATAAAGCCATGAGGCAGAAAGAAAATGAATAGAAATGGGTTTATTTCAGTTATAAGAGCTAGTTAGAAACAAGCCTAAACTATTGGCCAACCTTTCATAATGAAAAATAAGTTTCCATGTCATTTCTAGAGAGCCAACAGTCCCAACAAAAAAAGTCCAAAGCCCTCTTCAGGTGACATACCTATTCCAACAAGGACATACATCATAATCCTTCCCAGACACTCCCAATCCCTGGGACTAAGCATTCGAATAGATGAGCCTAAGGGGTCATTCTCATTCAAACCACCACAGTGGGGCTCATCTAATTAGACCTCAAGTGCACTGTTGCATCAAGTTTTAACTAATGACTGTTCTTCATTCCTGTTCTTCCCGACAAGGCATTGATCCTACCCATGTTCACACTCAAGCAGAAGCAGCAATGAAAACAAACTTTTTTGGTACCCGGAATGTCTGCATGGAACTACTCCCTCTAATAAAACCACAAGGTAAGTTGGGTGTATGATTTCCTCTACCTGTCTGGCATCTGCCTCCCTGGGGTCTGCCTGCCTAATGTCTGCTTACCTGGGAGCTGAACCCCTTGCTACATGGAACTCATCATTTCTGTTGTGTATCTTAGGCAGAGTAGTGAATGTATCAAGCATGATAATTCTCACAGCCATGAAAAACTGCAGCCCGGAGCTGCAGCAGAAGTTTCGAAGTGACACCATCACAGAGGAGGAGCTGGTGGGGCTCATGAACAAGTTTTTGGAAGACACAAAGAAAGGAGTGCAAGAGAAAGAAGGCTGGCCTAAGAGTGCTTACGGAGTGAGCAAGATTGGGGTGACAGTCCTGTCGAGAATCCATGCCCGGAAACTCAGGGAGCAGAGGAAAGGGGACAAGATCCTCCTCAATGCCTGTTGTCCTGGGTGGGTGAGAACAGATATGGCAGGACCAAAGGCCCCCAAGAGCCCCCAAGAAGGAGCAGAGACCCCTGTGTACTTGGCCCTTTTGCCACCCAATGCAGAGGGACCTCACGGGCAGTTTGTTCGGGAAAAACAGGTTGAACAATGGTGAGCTCAACTCTCACCTCTTCCCGCGGTCCCTGGTTCTGTACCCTATCCTAAAGGGAGACACAGGCTCTAATTCTAATTCTAGGAAGTTTTATGATTTCCTCGAGGAGATAAAATGAAATTCTTGGCAATAACGAATGAAAATCAAGATGGACTAAATGGTTCTTTCTGTGTGTTCATTTATTGTGTGTGGGGTGCTACGTTAGACATGGTTCCCTGCACAGTATGTATGCACATGCATGAATAGTATGTACCCAGATTAGAAGAAAACCTTAGGTGTGGGTATTCAGGTGACTCCTTCTTTTTTTAATTTTTGAGATAAAACTGTCATGGCTTTAAGCCACTTTTATCAATTCTTTGGGAATTTCATACACCCATGCCATGTATTTGATCACGTTCATCCTCTGCTTCCCTCACTTACTCCCCCAGGTTCGACCCCATTTTCCCAACTTCTTCCAACTTCATAGTATCTTTTTCTGCTGCTGCTGCTGTTGCTATTAAACAAGTTTGGTTGACCTACCTGGGGTACATCCTTAAAGAAAACTGCCTCTCCTCCCCCAGAAGCTTTGAGCTGTCAATAGATCCCCAGTCAAGTGTATAGTGGCATAAATGAATATAGACAGATTGTAATAATATATACAGCTTTAATGGGGAAATAGACTTACAGAACCACAGGTTCCCGTGGAGAACAGGAAAGTATTACTTTCTAATCTGTTTCTTTCTTTGGTTAATTAATAAAGAAACTGCCTAGGCCCATTTGATAGGTCAACCCTTAGGTGGGTGGAGTAAACAGAACAGAATGCTGGGAGAAAGAAGCTGAGTCAGTGAGTCGCCATGATTCTCCCACTCCAGACAGACTCAGGTTAAGATCTTCCCTGGTAAGCCACCTTGTGGGCTACACAGAATATTAGAAATGGGTTAGATCAATATGTAAGAGCTAGCCAATAAGAGGCTAGAACTAATGGGCCCGGCAGTGTTTAAAAGAATACAGTTTCCATGTAATTATTTCGGGTATAAAGCTAGCCGTGTGGGCGGCTGGGTGCCGGGGACACAGTTCAACTGTTTCTATTACAACACAAGTGTGGGGACAGCCCCCACACTCTGTGCTTGAACACTGACTGTCTGTGAGCAGTCACAGATGACATGAGCTCTGAGTTCTGTGGTCCTGGGCACCCCCTTCCTCACTCTGTGCTTGAACACTGACTGTGAGCAGCCACAGACGACATGAGTTCTGAGTGCAGCAGTCCTGCCCTGTTGAGGAGAGAGTGATTTGGCCCCTGGATCTAGGTAGGGAGTATGATACAGCTATCCTATTTGTTGTGAGCACTCCAGAGGTACTCATTGTCTGCACTCGACCAATTATGAGTTTCTCCATGAGCCATCATCCACTGCACACAGGAAGTTTCTATGATGAAGTCTAGGAGCAAAAATGATCTACGGGGACAGAGGTACAACCTCAGAAGGCAGTCACATCTATGTCCATTCAGCAAAATAACAGTAATAGCTGTGAGTTCCCCAACGATGGTTCTTGGCCAGATTTTCAGTCCTAGGCATGCATTTCCTCCCATGAAGCAGGACTTAAATCAATGATTCTCGACCTGTGAGCCATGCCCTCCATGTGGTGCATATCAGAAATCCTGCATATCAGATATTTACATTGCAGTTCATAACAGTAACAAACTTACAGTTGTGAAGTAGCAATGAAAGAATTTCATGGTTGGGGTCACCATAACATGAGGAACTGTATTAAAAGGCCGCAGCATTAGGAAGGCTGAGAATCACTGCCTTAAATCCAATCAAAAAGCAGTAGTTTAACAAAATAAGTTCCATCCGTTTCCTTGCAAATGATATCATTTCATATTTCTTTTTGGTTGAAAAAACTTCATCATGTCTGCATACAACATTGTATGTTTATTATCAGTTCATCTGTTGGTGGACCTCTCGGCTAAATATCCATATCCTGGATGCTGTGAACAGACACAGTTAGCGTCAATGTGCAGGTGAATTGGTCGCATGTCTGCTTTGAGTCCTTTGATTATTTTCTCAAGGATGATACAGCTATATCATATGTTAGCTCATTTTTTAGTTTTTAAAGGGAATTTTCATACTTTCTGCTACGGTAAGTACGCAATTTTATACTTCCAACACTATAGAAGGGTTCTTTCCCCCAACAAACCTTCTTAATGACAGCCTTTTTGACTGGGGCATTCAATTTTAACGTTGCTGGTTTTAGACCAGCTATGACTAGGGAGAAAAACAATCTCAACGGGATTTTAATTTGTGTTTCCATGATGGCTAAGGACATTGAAGACTTTTTGGTTATTTATTGGTTATTTGTGCTTTTATTGAGAACTATCTGCTTAATTCATTAGCATGTTTGTTTTTATTTTGTTTTTCTTTTACTTCTCAGGTTTGAGTTCGTTGTGTACTGTCACTGATAATACACTTTGTGGTTGTTGCTTTTGCTTGGTTTTTGATGCTTATTCTAGGTATCATTTTCCTGAGTCACTGGAGTCCTTCTCAGAAAACCTTGTCCATCCCGATGCCTTAAACTCTGAGCCTCAAGTCTTTCTCTAGCAGGTTCAAAGTCTCAAATGTTAATGTCTTTGATGCATTTTAACTGATTTTTTAACTAATATTTTGTTATCAACTCAAAAAGCAGATCAGTGATTATGTAATAGTCCTGCCTACACTGAGAAAGTTCAAATGGTCAAACATGAAAAGCATTTTAGAAAATACATTTAATTTTGTGCTATGTTCAAAAGAAATATGTGTTTGAAAGGCACAGAAAGGCTTCATACTTGCCTAGTGATTGAAGACATTACGCCTTAACTTGTATAAACATGTTAGTTTTCCCTTTTAGAATTTTGCTTACTTTTGATTTTACTAGAATATCTTATTTATCCTGATATTTCACATGTGTAAAATGCATATCTTGATTGTACTCACTCACTCCAGGCATCCCTATGTTGCTCTTCCTGTTTTATGTCTTTGTTTTTTCTAAACTCACTGGGTTCAGCCAATGCTGCCTATTGGAATACTGACTGCTCTTTCTGGGTTGACCTTACACAAGTCGTGCCTGTGACCATAGCTGCAGAGACTTCATGCATACAATGGCCTTGTCATGTCCAGAAGACGGCTCTCCTCACAGGTCTTAATTCCCTCCCCTTCCATGACATTCCCTGAGACTGTGGCAGGGGTGTTGATATATGTGACTTATTTAGGGCTGATAACTCAACAGCCTCGGACCAGCAGTGAGATGCTGCGTTAGCTGCTGACCACTGCAAAGAGAAACTTCTCTGGCCAAGGTTGAAGGAAGCACTAACCTACGTGTATAAATCTAAAGGTACATCGGCCGTTTGACAACATATCTACGTAACCAGACAGAGCACTAGGTCCCCTCCTAGACTTTGTGTTCTCTCAGGCGACTTTCATATCACCATGACAAGGCACCATGGCCACAGCAACTGCTAGAAGTTTATTGGGGGGTTATAGTCTCAGAGGTTGAGCCCATGATCATTGTGGTGAGGGCATGGCAGTGGCATGGTGCTGAAGCAGTCGCTGAGGGTGTACATCCTCTCCGCAAGTAGGAGGAATAAAGTGAGCTAACAAGGAGTGGGTAGGATTTGAAACCTCAAAGCCCACCCCCATTAACACACATCCACCAACAATGCCATACCTCCAAATCCTGCCCAAACAGTTCCACCAAACAGGAGACCAAGCATTCAAATGTATGAAGCTGATGGGGGCGTTCTCAATCAAACCACTGCACTAGATGTGCTTTTGGCCCAATTTCACAGTTGTAGGTAGGAATTCTTTCCTATAGAGCAGGGCTCAGATCCAATCCCAAAGCAGTTGGTTATCCCATAACCTCCATGTCATTATTGTGCCCATTGGCACACAGTACTGTAGCAGGCGGGGTTCACAGCTTACTGATACCACTCATATCTTTTCTACCCGAGGCCCCTGCATAGCATCTTCTAGCACTATCCAGCAGCTGGAGAGTTTTCTGGCCAGTTCAGAAATGATTTTCTCCATCCTACAACCAAGTGTGCCTAGTCTTCAGTAATGGGTCTTATAATCTAGTTCTGTTTGGCAATTACGATTGACGGTAGTAGCCTATATTGTTTGTTTGTTTGTTTGTTTGCTGTGGGACAATGGTCTGTACCCTGTCACTTGTATTTTAAATAAATGTTGATTGACCAGTAGCCAGGCAGGAAATATACTCGGAGCAACCAGTCAGGAAGTAGAGACAGGGCAATGAGAATTCTGGGAAGAGGGAAGTTTAAGTCTGAAGTCGTCACCCAGAGACAGAAGAAGCCAGGCACAGAGCAAGCAAGATGTGACTGCCTCGCCAAAAAAGGGACCAAACCACGTGGCTAACACAGATAAGTATTATGGGCTAATATAAGTTATAAGAGTTAATAAGAAGCCTGAGCTACTAGGCCAATGAGATTTTTTTTTTTTGCATTTTTGAGACAGGGTTTCTCCATAGCTCTTTGGTTCCTGTCCTGAACTAGCTCTTGTAGATTGTAATCAATGTCGACCTCTGTGTATTTCTTTGGGAGTGAACAGCTGTAGGACTGGGCAGGAAAGAAAACTCTGTCAACATTTGTTTGGTTGTTTATTTGTTTTTTAGGGGAGTTCTGTAGCTGGATGGGCCTACCATCATTTATTCAACTCCTATAACCTCTTGGCTTTTTCCTGTTCTTCGCTTTACAATTTTCCTTCCAGCAGTCTCTGGAAGGAAAGACTCAGGGGTCAGACATTTTTTAACCTGTTTCTTTCATGGAAAGTTCTCATTTATCCTTATATTTAGATAGATGGACTTTCTGGGCATCCTAGCCTGGTTGGCACCTGTGATCCTCACAGCTTAAAATGCACCTACCCAAGCCCTTCTGACTTACAGAGTTTCCACTGAAAAATCAACTTTACTGCTCAAGTCATCTTTGCACTGACTTGACCATTCTCTCCTGTGACTACCATCAATGTGGTTTCTTTGGATAAATCGAGGCTACATAACAAGCCAGGTGGCACATGCCTTTAATCTCAGCACTCCAGAAACTTCAGCAGGCAAATATCTGTGAGCCCAAGGCCAGCCTTGCCAACATAATGAGTTCTAGGCCAGTCAGGGCTATGTAGT